CCCAAATCTAGGAGAATTCAGCCCAATTTTGGATTTCCAGTCTGGACCCAAATCTAGGAGAATTCAGCCCAATTTTGGATTTCCAGTCTGGACCCCCATCTAGGAGAATTCAGCCTAATTTTGGATTTCCAGTCTGGACCCAAATCTAGGAGAATTCAGCCCAATTTTGCGAGAATTCAGCCCAATTTTGGATTTCCAGTCTGGACCCCATCTAGGAGAATTCAGCCCAAATTTGCATTTCCAGTCTGGACCCAAATCTAGGAGAATTCCGCCCAAATTTGCATTTCCAGTCTGGACCCAAATCTAGGAGAATTCAGCCCAATTTTAGATTTCCAGTCTGGACCCAAATCTAGGAGAATTCAACCCAATTCTGGACCCCCATTTCGGAGAATTCAGCCCAATTTTGCGAGAATTCAGCCCAATTTTGCGAGAATTCAGCCCAATTTTGGATTTCCAGTCTGGACCCAAATCTAGGAGAATTCAACCCCAATTTTGCGAGAATTCAGACAAATTTTTGCTTTCCAGTCTGGACCCCATCTAGGAGAATTCAACCCAAATTTGCATTTCCAGTCTGAACCCAAATCTAGGAGAATTCAACCCAAATTTGCATTTCCAGTCTGAACCCAAATCTAGGAGAATTCAACCCAATTTTGGATTTCCAGTCTGGACCCAAATCTAGGAGAATTCAGCCCAATTTTGCGAGAATTCCGCCCAATTTTGAATTTCCAATCTGAACCCAAATCTAGTAGAATTCACCCCAATTCTGGACCCCCATCTAGGAGGATTCAGCCCAATTTTGCGAGAATTCTGTCCAATTCTGGACCCCCATCTAGGGGAATTCCGCCCAATTTTCGATTTCCAATCTGGACCCAAATCTAGGAGAATTCAGCCCAATTTTGCGAGAATTCCGCCCAATTTTGAATTTCCAATCTGAACACAAATCTAGGAGAATTCAGCCCAATTCTGGACCCCCATTTCGGAGAATTCAACCCCAATTTTGCGAGAATTCAGCTCAATTTTGGATTTCCAGTCTGGACCCAAATCTAGTAGAATTCACCCCAATTCTGGCCCCCCATCTAGGAGAATTCAGCCCAATTTTTGACTTCCAGTCTGGACCCAAATCTAGGAGAATTCAGCCCAATTTTGCGAGAATTCTGCCCAATTTTGGATTTCCAATCTGAACACAAATCTAGGAGAATTCAGACCATTTCTGGACCCCCATTTCGGAGAATTCAACCCCAATTTTGCGAGAATTCAGCCCAATTTTTGCTTTCCAGTCTGGACCCAAATCTAGGAGAATTCAGCCTAATTTTTGATTTCCAGTCTGGACCCAAATCTAGGAGAATCCAGCCCAATTTTTGATTTCCAGTCTGGACCTAAATCTAGGAGAATTCAACCCCAATTTTCGATTTCCAATCTGAACCCAAATCTAGTAGAATCCAGCCCAATTCTGGACCCAAATCTAGGAGAATTCAGCCCAATTTTGCGAGAATTCAGCCAAATTTTGGATTTCCAATCTGAACCCAAATCTAGGAGAATTCACCCCAATTCTGGACCCCCATCTAGGAGAATTCAGCCCAATTTTGCGAGAATTCTGTCCAATTCTGGACCCCCATCTAGGGGAATTCCGCCCAATTTTGGATTTCCAATCTGGACCCAAATCTAGGAGAATTCAGCCCAGTTTTGTGAGAATTCAGCCCAATTTTGGATTTCCAGTCTGGACCCAAATCTAGGAGAATTCAGCCCAATTCTGGCCCCCCATCTAGGAGAATTCAGCCCAATTTTTGACTTCCAGTCTGGACCCAAATCTAGAAGAATTCAGCCCAATTTTAGATTTCCAGTCTGGACCCAAATCTAGTAGAATCCAGCCCAATTCTGGACCCCCATTTCGGAGAATTCAGCCCAATTTTCGATTTCCAATCTGAACCCAAATCTAGGAGAATTCAGCCCAATTTTGGATTTCCAGTCTGGACCCAAATCTAGGAGAATTCAGCCCAATTCTGGACCCCCATTTCGGAGAATTCAACCCCAATTTTGCGAGAATTCAGCCCAATTTTAGATTTCCAGTCTGGACCCAAATCTAGGAGAATTCAGCCCAATTTTGCGAGAATTCAGCCCAATTTTAGATTTCCAGTCTGGACCCCATCTAGGAGAATTCAACCCAAATTTGCATTTCCAGTCTGGACCCAAATCTAGGAGAATTCAACCCAATTTTGGATTTCCAGTCTGGACCCAAATCTAGGAGAATTCAGACCATTTCTGGACCCCCATTTCGGAGAATTCAACCCCAATTTTGTGAGAATTCAGCCCAATTTTAGATTTCCAGTCTGGACCCAAATCTAGGAGAATCCACCCCAATTCTGGCCCCCCATCTAGGAGAATTCAGCCCAATTTTTGACTTCCAGTCTGGACCCAAATCTAGGAGAATTCAGCCCAATTTTGGATTTCCAGTCTGGACCCAAATCTAGGAGAATTCAGCCCAATTTTTGCTTTCCAGTCTGGACCCCATCTAGGAGAATTCAACCCAAATTTGCATTTNTATCTATCTATCTATCTAATCTATCTATCTATCTATCTATCTATCTATCTATCTATCTATCTAATCTATCTATCTATCTATCTATCTATCTATCTATCTATCTAACAATCTATCTATCTATCTATCTGTCTGTCTATCTATCTATCTATCTAATCTATCTATCTATCTATCTATCTATCTATCTATCTATCTATCTATCTATCTATCTATCTATCTATCTATCTATCTAACAATCTATCTATCTATCTGTCTGTCTATCTATCTATCTATCTAATCTATCTATCTATCTATCTATCTATCTATCTGTCTGTCTATCTATCTATCTATCTAACAATCTATCTATCTATCTATCTGTCTATCTATCTATCTATCTATCTATCTCTGTCTATCTATCTAATCTATCTATCTATCTGTCTGTCTATCTATCTATCTATCTATCTATCTAATCTTATCTATCTATCTAATCTATCTATCTAATCTATCTATCTATCTATCTAATCTATCTATCTATCTATCTATCTATCTATCTATCTATCTGTCTATCTATCTATCTATCTATCTATCTAATCTTATCTATCTATCTAATCTATCTATCTATCTAATCTATCTATCTATCTAACAATCTATCTATCTATCTATCTATCTATCTATCTATCTAACAATCTATCTATCTATCTATCTATCTATCTAACAATCTATCTATCTATCTATCTATCTATCTATCTATCTATCTAACAATCTATCTATCTATCTATCTATCTATCTATCTATCTCTGTCTATCTATCTATCTGTCTATCTATCTATCTATCTATCTATCTATCTATCTATCTAATCTTATCTATCTATCTAATCTATCTATCTATCTAATCTATCTATCTATCTATCTATCTATCTAATCTATCTATCTATCTAATCTATCTATCTATATTATCTATCTATCTATCTATCTAATCTATCTATCTATCTATCTATCTATCTATCTATCTATCTATCTAATCTATCTAATCTATCTATCTAATCTATCTATCTATCTAATCTATCTATCTATATTATCTATCTATCTATCTATCTAATCTATCTA